GATTCACCAGTTAGATATAGGGGGTGATTAGGAGGCCAGATCTGAAAGGGCCACAGTGGGCAATTTAGCCAGGACATCGGGCTACCACCCCTACTCTTTCTAATGATGCCCAGGGATCTTTTATGACCTCAGAGAGGCAGGAGCTCAGTATTATGTCTCATACAAAGGACGGCACCATTTTTACAGCACAGTGCCCCCGTCACTGCACTGGGACTTTGGGATCCACACAGAGCACAGGATGGGTTAACCTGTCAGCCACAACAACATCTCTACCAGCAGCAACCCGGCTATCCTAGGTGGGCTCCAACCTAAGTACTGGCCAGACCCAAACCTGCGTAGCTCCAGATGGATTTCCTGATCTAAGCGGCAAGTGGTACAGCTACTGACAAAAATTACAGGTAAAATGCTCACACATGCATGATTATTTGCACATCAAACGTTTCTGCTCCATAGCTCTGTCTATGTAGAGCCAGCCCTGTATGTCTGCAAACTTTCTGCAGATGAGCAGATCTAGTGCTGCATCTCTGAGGCTGGGGACCTGCTGCAGGCGAGTGACGACGCCCTGATGCTCTCGTTCCACCACACGGACTGAAAGATATTTAGAGAAGCAGACCACAGACCTCAAAGAGTCTGCAGCCAGAGTGACTGGCTACATCAACAGGCGCATTGAGGGTGTCACAGTCACAAAAACAAACACCACACTTTCCAACCAGAAGCCATGATTTACAGCAGAAGATCACAAACTGCTTAAAACCCGAGACGCTGCATTCAGAGCAGGAGATGAGGCAGCATCAGGAAGACAAGAGCCAACCTGTCCTGAGACATCAGGCCAGTGAAGTGTGAGCATGATAAAATAAATCAACACTCACTTCAGCAACATGAGACACACGGAGCATGTGGAAGGGCCTCCAGACCATCACAGACTGCAGACCATCACAGACTGCAGACCATCACAGACTACAGACCATCACAGACTACAGACCATCACAGACTACAGACCATCACAGACTGCAGACCCACACCACACACCTGTGATGCTGACCACACACCTAACTCACTGACACACTGAACATCTTCTGTGCACAACTTGAAGGTTGGGGACCTTCTGCAGGAGAGCAATGATGTGTGTATTCTTTCCTTTCTGCACCCCCACGAGACCACAAGCACGGCAGATGTACTGCTAGATATTACTGTGGGTTTTTACTCTGCTCTTATGCTGTAAATGCCTCTGCTTGTGGTTCACAAGGGACAAGTTCTTAGGTCAGGGCTTGTTTGGTATGTAAACAACTAGAAGTTCATTAGATTTTTTCACTAACTATCTATATAACTAACAGAATACCAATCAGTGCCCATATGAGCATAAATATAAAAACATATATATTCACATATTGCCAGATATTTAGCTGAAATTATAGGCTAATACCAATAATACTCAATAGAAATAAATAAATAAATATATATATATATATATAAGGAATTATATATATATATAATTATAAGGAAGACACTATGGAACACACCCTGAGGGGCGGAGCCTGCCAAGGTGACGATGGGTGACAGCAGTTACCAAAGCAGATGTTCTTTAATGCACGGGTTTACCCAGCCTGAAGCCCAGGGGCCTCCGCTAATAAAGGGCCGCAATGAACCTTATTTAATATTCTGAGGGGGTGTCGACTAAGGAAAATGGCGTCCCTGTTGCCAACATAACCCGGCCGCCCCCGTCAACAAATTTCATCATCACGCCCCCCAAAGCCTAGGGCACTACATAGGCTTCTATCTCTTTTGCTGCGTCAGCGTAGGAAAAACTGGCGGGGGGGGGGGGGCTCTGAAACCTCAAATAACCCAGGGGCCTCTGACCATGTTCACCACGTTACCTAACAAGTGTCACACACGTTCCACGTTAAAGTGCAAACTGTCTACTTAAATACAAACTATTGGAATATTTACACTTGCCATATTATTTCTTTAACCATAAATAAACCATGAAACTGAAATGTGCTTGAACTTCTAAAATGTTGGATTATACTGTAGTACACAAAGTATCTTCTGAAGGTATAAACATTCAGCTTGCTGGTATTCAGATTAAAGTTCTCACCGATGTGTTTTCAGTTTAAACTCTGCTGTGACAGTAGGTGACGCCTCCATCTTTGTACATCTGAAGACCCTCCCACTGGGTGACAGTCAGTCATGGACACGACGATCTCTCTGATCGTTCTGTTCTGTTAGTGTCTGATTACTGCAGAAAGGGAACTGGATCATTATTTCAAGGCCAACAGCAGATCCTGCTGAAATGAGTCATTTCTTTGTGTGTCTGATATTTGTATTAAAGTTCCTCCCAGATTTGTCATTCCACAATTTACTGAGTGTGATCAATTACACTTTTAATTTGTATTTCACATGTAAATGAATCTAAGCTAGACTAAACAACAGTGTTCTTAGTCTTGACTTGAATATTGAGAGTGAGCCTGAATCTCGCACACCTGCTGGAAGACTGCTCCACATATGAGAATCATCTGCAGCTCTTTATACCCTATAGGTACTAACAGATATCCAACTGCAGCTGACAGTCACATCACAAAAGATTGTGCTTCATCCAATTTCTGTTACTAAATTCGGAATATACAAAATTCACACTCTGCTATACTAAGCACATGTGAGTGTGGTACGTAGGTCAGTAAGGTATGAATCTATGTCCATATCCAGAAGGCTGTCGGTTTGAATCCTGACATTTGCAGAGTGCAAAGGGAAAATTAAACATAATGTAAATTAAGGATGATCAAAAACATGAAACCTATTTTTATCTAAAAATACATTTTATAACCTCTTTTATGCATGCTTACCTCGTAATATTATAAAAACTTTAAGTTTCCGTAATGACTACAGTAACATAGAATGTAAAATTTAATATTTATTTATGATTCTCATGGCAGTGATGGGGGTAGACGAGTAAAAGCATCTTTTCACATTTGGCCAGACCTTATTGTTTATGTTTGTAGAATATTATTACAGTAAATTTGGTGCTTCGTAGTTTGTTTGCATGGTAATCAAAGCTTAAATTTCCTAATGAGAAACTATTATAGAACCCCAAAAAATGTAAAATTGATTCTTCCAGTCATTTATGTGGAAGTTATTTTAGCACCTAAAGCAGCCTGAAATGACCAACTGCTGGGGTCATCATTGCACTGGGCGTTTGCATGGCCACCAGGCAGCAGCACTGTGGTGTGCAGAGACACGCGCCTCAAACTGATACTTTTGCAATCTTCTACAAGTCGGGTGACCAAATAATCTATGCTAGGGAGGACACTTTGAGCTAAGATGGGACAAATAACAGAGAAATTCACAGATTTCAGCCACAAGCTGGAAGTTAATATTGCTTGCATGTCATTCATTTCCAAGTCCTCTGAATATATTCCGGATTATTGATTGATTCCTTATTACATCATCAGACCTGAGGGCTGAAAGCAAAAACCAGGGTCAGATTCCAGCCTCCAGCACCCCTGAGCAGCTGGGTTTAAGCACCATGCTGAAGGGCCCAGTGGTGATATGATTACTCTGCAAGGCACAGGACTCAAACCTACAGCCTACTGGACATGGACACAGAGTCATAACCCACTGAGCTACATATCACACTGACATATGTATAATATTGTGGCGTGTGGAATCCGCCACTCACCAGCAGGGGGCGATCAGTAGTATGCAAGCCAACTGTAACTATGGTTTCCTCACGGTCGGCTGCAGGATTGCTAACTGGGGAGGAAAAAGGCTAAGCGTGCTGCTAATGCTAACTGTGCTGGGAGACTGGGAGACGCCTGCCCAGAGGGCGCCCTCTCCTGACCAACCCAGACGGAGCAGGTGGAATTGTCTATATCAGCTTACAAAGATGGTTTACATAACAATTTAGGGCACATCTTCCAGTACAGGTGGTGAACTAGAGCCCATCCCAGGCAACACAGACTGGGGACTCCATAGTCCCATAGGATGGGAGAACATTGCAGGACATACTGGTTAAGATGTGGACTATATGTATTTATATAATTCAATACCTAATACATCATACTGTCCCAGAAAATGACGTTTTTCCTTTCAATGGCAATTAATGGAAATTTACTTTGTAGAAATTATGGGAATTTTATATATATATATATATATATATATATATANATATATATATATATATATATATATATATATATATATATATATATATATATAAATTTATAATATAAATGATGCTAGCATATACAGTATAGTATAGCTATTATATAATACTATATTCATAATTATATATTAGAAAATAAAAAAATATATAAATTATGAAATAGATTAAATAATAGCACTTAGGTACATTTAATAATACTTGCGTAAATTTACATGCACAAATACTTGAGTTTGGGGGTTTACATTCAATAAAAAACATTGTGGGACATCAAGGGACAGGGGGGTGGTGGTTGGTGGTCTTCAGAGGCTCCGAGCTCAAACGGGCCTTTTTGCAACCTTCTGAAACTCGCTTGCAGTTATATGATGTATTTAAACAGTAAAACGATGTTAATCAGATCACTATGTGACAGTAAGCCTGCTGGTATTTTTCCCATTTAGGCTATATACTGTATATATAAATACACACACACACACACAATACCGTAGGTTTGTTCTGTTTCCCCCTGCATAAAGACTCCCACAGCACTGTGGACTGAAGGCGTCCTTTGTCTTTCTCTAAGCATAAACCCACCCAGATGTGGGATAAAGAGTGATAGACGACCCATCAGACCATATAGGTTTTGGTGCAGGTTTTGTTCTCCTTACATCAGCTTTGATGACTTTATACATTGGCCTTCTGCATGAGACCCATGATGTATCTTGCTACTATATGAAGCTCACAACATACAGTTTCTGTTGAGACTGGATCTCAGGGGGGCTGTTTCAGTTCAGCAGTTTCAAGTCTAGTAGAGTTATGAGGAAAACATTTTCCATCACGTCATTGAACAATGACGATCTGCACAGAAAAATGATTCAACGAAAGGTATTTTTCAGAACCAAATAATAGCAACATTTTATTCCTTAATAAGCACTGAAAATAAAGCAGGTTACACCTTATACAGGTCAACTAGATTTTAATGTAAACATGAAAATGAAAATTATAACTGAATGAGAACATTGAGCCCTTATCTTTGAAAATGAACTCATGTAGGAGCGTGTGGTTAAGGTGTGTAACCCAGTCTTGGAGGGTGTGGTTATCTGGGTCACATGACCTGTGGAGGTGTGGCTGAGGTCAGAGGTCACAATGGGCTGTAGGTGACCTCTGTGTAAATGTCAAGCAGTTGTCGTCTGTCAATTTTGTCCTGTATCACAGATTAATAAGACATTTATTAGACATGATGTCATCTAACGTAACGGGAAAATTGTTGACAGCCAATCAAGCAGTGAAGTACCTGGTTCCCATGCGCACCAGCAGGAAGCCGCTGTCCCTCCTCCACAGTCGTATGAAGCACAGAATTCTTCAAACCTGAAATTAAATATTACTACTATTGATAGATATGATTGATATGACTTAGCATAGAAGGGCTAAAATAACAATTCAAATTTTATTTATCGTGGTTTGTCCTGTGTTGTGTTTATGGTTTTATATGGGGTTGGGATTAAATACAGAGGCAGTGTGTTAGTTCAGTTTGATTTGGGGCATAAACAGAGATAGTAACCCAATGTGAGGGACTGTGTGACTATTGGCCTGTCAGGCAGCTACAGCAGACAGGCAGAGGCCGTGACAGTGAAGCGCTAGGTGACTCACCCTTTTCATATCCCCGCATGTACATAAAAACAGAGAAGGGAAAGCAGGTCAAAGCACAAGTTGCAGTGACGGTGATCACTATGATCATAGGGAATCCCATGGAGATCATCGTTGTTTCTGGTGTGGAGACACAGAGAGGCATCGTGCTTTATGTGGGTTCACCCGGAGGGCAAGAGGCAGAAGCATGTTAGCCTTGATGTGGGCTTCAATACACACAACAATAACAACAACAACAAGTTTATTTTTGTATAGCGCATAATCACAACATTACATCGTCTCAAAGCGCTTTACAGCATCCCCACCCAAAGCCCCCAGTGAGTAAGCCATAGGCGACAGTGGCAAGGAAAAACTCCCTAGAAGGAAGAAACCTTGGGAGGGACCAGACTCAAAGGGGGAGCCCATCCTCCAGGGGCCGGCAGGGAGAGTCAAATAGTCAATAGTCACTGGGGGGCCCTGTTTAGCTGCAGAATTTTAGTGCATGAGGCAGAATTAGGCTGCGTGTGGATGCTGGTATGACATACTGTGATATGACTTTCAGCAAAATCAGGAAAGGATTTTGATCATAACATGATCTGTGTGCTGACAACTTCCTCTGATGGCAACAGAGTTACTGAGATCTTCACTGCACAATGCAGGCCCATTTCAGGACAAAATATTCAAACAAATGAATCTAATTATCTGCGTACTTGTGTTTTCTTAACTTTGGGCTTTAATAAATGTTTCTCATTAGGAGATTTTACCTTTGATTACTATGCAAAGAAACTACAAAGCACCAAATTTACTACAGTGTAATATTCTACTAACACCCACAATAAGGTCTGGCCAAATGTAAACACATGCTGAGCATTAACATGCTTTTAGGAGTTCTGATCTGTCACGCCCCACATTCTTTTCCCCTCGTTGTCTCCGTTGTGTGGCTCTAATGAGCCAGATCTGTTACTTGTTTAATCTTCTCTCTCATTACAGCCCTCGTGTGGATCACCCCAGGTGCCTCTCCTCTGCTCACTCGTCAGTGATGTATATAGTGCCTCCCTGTCTTGATAATTGATGTTGTCGCCTGTGTGAGCACCCCCAGTGGGCCCTGTGCCTGTTCTTGAGTTCTTCCATCTAGTCCATTGAAAGCAGATATTTTCTGGACCAACAGTAAAGTCCCAGATCAGACTCTTTGATGTTTGTAAGCCAAGGACTATATGAAGTGAATGAAGAGTTCCACAGGAAAGCGTATCGAAGAAGAGGAACATGCAGAAATTCTAAGCCAGTAGAGGCTGATTCTTATGAGAGCATTGTCTGTACCACAAGGCTGGTCTGTCACCTTCATCACACATTTCCACAGATCATTATACAGAATTAAAATGCATTAAAACAATTTAGGGAAAAAAATAAGGTTTTAAATAGCATTTGATGTCGTAAATACTATTTCTGTAGGTATTAAATATTTTCTTTTTTTTTCAATTTAATCAAAGTACTTGTTTAAATTCAGAAACATCATTGGTTACATTGTTTAATGTCAATTTCGATTGTTCCATTTGCTCACATGTCGCTGCGGGGAGCCTTATAACTGTAGATGGAAAAAAATTAATGTAACACACAATGTGCCTTACTGCAGTAAAGTTAGCTTTATGTTTGAAATTCAGATTTCAAGCTTTAGTGCTAACCATCCATCTAGGTCATTCTGCTGGGAGTTATTAGCCATAGAAAAGTCAGTTTTCTCTCAAACATAATGGGACCGAATCACATTCTTTCTGTGGTGATTAAAATGCCAAAAATATACATTTGAAAAATCCAACAGCAATGTCTCTTACCAGGAATCACGACCAAATTAATGAAGATAATCCACAGAGTTCTTAGTGAGCAGTTTAATGTAGGGACAGTTTTATTCTACTGAACTCCACACGCCAATCGTATCAGTGCGCAGAAGATATCGCCAGGGTGCTCGTATCTTCGCTGTAATTTATTCTGTTGCACTATAAATAGATAATATTTAATAATTAATCCACAGTTAATAGTCTAGTAATTCCACAGTTAATTATGCTGTTTAGAGGAATATCCATATAGCGTTTTATTTCATGCTTTCGTGCTTTTCTTTGGTAAAAGAAAAACAAAATTAAGTGGCCGCTTCCTGCGGGTGTTTGTACGTGTCTGTGTTTGTGTGTCTGTGTGTTTGTGTTTGTGAGTGTGTGTGTGTGTTTGTGTGTCTGTGTTTGTGTGTGTGTGTGTTTGTGAGTGTGTATGTGTGTGTGTGTGTTTGTGTATCAGGGGCACCGCTAGAGATTTTGGGCCCAATGAAAGCGTATCATATTTTCCCCCCTTTATGGCGCCCCTGGTGTGTGTGTGTGTGTGTGTGTGTGGGCGGGTGTTGGACGACAGTATTATTGTTTATCCCAATATTTTTCAATTAGAATATCACATATTTTAAAAATATTTTTCTATGCCTGGAATAAACGCTATAGTCACTCAGACTGCATCTCTGATCAAAAATCTTGCATATAAATCGAAAATCTATTTAATTTAGTTCTATAATTTGCCCATAGCTTCTTTCTAACATAACTAGACAGCACCGAGTTTGAATGTTACTCACAGAGTAAGATGATGAGAGAGACGCAGTTTCTTCTTGTCATTAAGGATCTCGGCAGGTTCCGTTATCACAGGCAGACTTTGAAGGACAGAAGTGTGGCTGCAATTTACCAAGAGTTACAGGATATCAGTGGTAAGAGAAGGAGGTACTTTCCTTTTTTTTTTTTTTTTGTAAATTATTTTTAACAACCTCCCCGCCAGCAAAAGAGGCACCCAGCCCCTCCGACGCGCCGAAGGCCCCCGCGCCGGGGCCGGGCCCCAGTGCATGCGCCAACCCACACCCCGGCGATACACCCACCAGGACCCAAGCCCCCCCAGCCCAGCCGGAACCCCAGCCCGGAGGCAGAGCGCCCCCAGAACCCCAAGCCCGCCCCGGACCCACCCAGGAGCAGCACGGCCGCCAGGCCGGCAACCTACGTAGGAGGTACTTTCCTGATAAATATCACCATGACACACCCACCCAGCAAAATGATTTTAATTTTGTTAAAGTTGTTGGTATTAAACATTATTCATGTGTTAGAAGTGTTCAGACAGAGTGGTTTTTTTTTGTGATGTGTGCTTGATGCGTCTATCTCAAGCTGGGATGTGTAACAGGTGGTAAACCTGGACATCATAAACAGGGAAAATAATGTGAAAATAATACAGTTAGAGGAATATTACAGTTAGGCCAGTGAAAGCTACAAAAACGCAGGACCAGAGTAAACCCACACTGCTCTGCTGTGAGAGCTATAGTAACAGTAATAATCCATACAGGTACTGTACAATCATTGCCCATGAGAAAACCACCTTTATTTGCTAATTCGTACTTCACTTCTGGTATAAAGGTTAGAATTCACAGTGCCTCCCTGCCCATAAACACGCACCCAGACGCAAGTGCAGGGGCTATGCAGAATTTGTATCAAACAGAAAAAGAACACAGTGTAGTAAATGAAGTGTATTGCTACAGATGCCCTGTAGGTGGCAATAGAGGCTTTGTCAATTAGTATGGTTAACTATGTATGGGGGTGAAGAAAAGAAAATGTTTTTGAGGGCACGAGAGAATCACTGAGGTTTACGGTGCGGTGCAAAGAGGGCAAGATCTACTTGGCTGTCCGTATCTCCTTATTGAGAGGATATTACACAAAGAATCCAAAATAAGACAATCTGGCTGAATATTCCATTCCAGGTTGCAGGAGATTGCTCACAAGCAGCCGGAAAAATTATCCTGATGTAGTGAAAAGAAATGTAAACAGAATCAGTTCGGGTTCTAAAAACATTGAGAAGCAAGTTGTGAAGTGGCAAAAGCTGCTGCCATCGTAAAATTTACTGTGAAGCGTAATTCTGTGCATAAGCACGTGTAGACCCACGAGGTACAAATACGGAAGGTGGCACGGATCAGTCCAGATCAGCAACGAGATGATGTCATTAAGCGAGCGTCAGCAAACATTAGATGTTAGAAAACAATATGGAAATTCTGAGCCCTGCGATACATGAAGGTCTCCTGCAATACATCAGGATTAGCAGTCGCACCCAAGTATGCAGGTTCCCCATACAAATAGCATGCAAACCCATCAGAAACAGCTTGATCTTGCAGTCTGACCAGGTCCAGCCTCATTCTGCTAATAGGTGGTAGCCTACTGGACTGAAGCTGAATTCACAAACTGGGTACTTCTGTCAACCTTGCAGTTCTGTCGGAGCCTCCAGCATCTGCCCATGAGAATGTGATCGATCTCCTTTGCCGCACCACCAGTACTGGAGAACCAAGTCCAATGACGTGGTTCAGGGTACAGGAAGCAGGATCCAGCGACCCGCAAACACCTGACCTTTTGCAGTATCATGGAACGAGGAGCCACTTTTACCAGGGTCACTAGACTTGTGGGGACCGACACAATCCTCATATCCAGCCCTGTCAGTGCCAGTGGTCGCATTGAAGGACGTCACCTCATGGGATGACCGCAGCAGAGATTCTCCTGCGGAAAGCAGAAAGACTCCTATCTGCTGCCTGGGAGCTGTGTGGAATTTTCACGGGGGGGCGGTTTGGGCGTGAGAACAAGGCATGATGCCGGCAGAAATGTGGACGACCCACTTGCGGCTCAAAGAACAGGGGTTTATTTAACAAAACAGAAAACACTAAGAATACAACAAAACCAAAAGGACCACGAGGGGTCAAAAACAAAAGGGGATAAACAAAGACTAAATTTAAAAAAGGGGGGTCGGTCGGTCGGTCGGACCGGCAGGCTACTAACAGAATATCCAAAACTATACTAACAACTATCACAAACATAAAACAATGAACCACTCGGGAACTGGACAGAAGCAGGGACTAAAATACTAAGGGGTAACGAGACTAACACTGGACAGGTGAGGCTAATTAACAAAGATCAGGGAAAACAGGGCACAGCTGAAACTAATTAACTCAATGGAACTAAAAACAGGGAAACTAAGAACTAAGCAAGGAAACAGGGAAACAGAAACTGACATTGGGGAAAACTGACAGATAAAAATAACCAAAAGCAAAAACCAAAACCGAATACAAATGAAACACAAGGACTAGAAAACTAATACAATTGAAACAAAACGGAACAAAATCTACAAAAACAGAGGAGGCGGGATTTGAACAATGCGTTGAGCAATGTGACCAAACAAGGAACAGGAGAAAACACAAGGACTGACAACACGAGGGACGGGATGACCAGCAACACCTGCTGGCCAAATGGGGAAGGAACACAGAGTGGGATAACAGGAGCTGACCCTGACGGAAATGTTTTTATAGTGGCTGGAGTGCAGGTACCGCCACCAATCCTACAAAACTCTCCCTGAAATTTGGAGAACCGCTTGTAGGACAGGATGCAGTTTAACGTCATTCCTACATTTTGCATGTGGACGCATTACTTATATGGATCAAAAATACTTCAACTGTAAAGTTTCTGCGCTGCCAATATGATTATCTGGTTTGTTTTGGCATTAAAAGCAGTCTGCTCAGCCTGTCGTGGTTGAGAGCAAAGTGATTTCAAAGATATATGGTAGCACTCAATACAAATCTTGAAAACATCTCTTCATTCTGGGTGGCGTATTTCCCGCTGTAAGTCCACTTTCCTCAGTCTTCAAAACTTTAAATTTATGTGTAAATAAATTCCTTACTTGTGTTTAATTGTTGTTTTCTACTTTCCATTCCTGGGTTAATATATTTTTTAAATATATTTTATTATTCACAGTGCCTAAACATAAAGTTATTCCCGCGTCCCATAGAGTAGCCAGACGAATGATGGACCAGCGCCATTCAAGCTCATTGTACCTGCAGCCGAACCACGAAAGTAAACGGTTCTTTGCTGACACCTCGTGGCTGAATATTGTATTACAATAACGGGAAGTAGCACTAATAAGGAAGTTCAGTTTAGTCCGTGACAGTGGGGCAGGTCGAAAATGTGACTGTTTTTCCACAATCCCTTCATATAATCCTACAATCTGGCATCGTCTGTAAGTAAAAAAGTTATTTTTATAATACAACATTTATTATAGTACTATAATTTTGGTAGATTGGTGCAAAATGTAAAGTTAGTTATTATAATAATAGGTTATTATTGTACGTTAATGATGCATACCGATCCTAAAATATTTCCATTGTGAATATTAGCTTGGTTATTAGTATATCTCCTTTTTAATTTCCAGTTTTACACTTTTCCCTAGTTAAACTTGCCAGCTACAACAATCATTCTGTTTCTTTGGAGGACAGTTGCGGAGTGTTTAGCTGCCTTAATTACCGGGGTCCACGTAACGAGGACCTGTGCTCTGTAATATGACAAGCCGTTTTTAACCTTAAACATTGGACGGAATAGGAATTTTAGATATCTGCATTGTAGTTCTTATTAGTACAAACTGGCGTTCCATTTGCCCTGGGAACTCGGATTCCGAGTTGGATTCCGAGTTTCAAAGCCGGAAGTGACGACATG